AATAATAATGAAGATAAATATGAATCTGAGGGTTGATATTAAAGATATTTTTGAGCTAAAAAATTAAACGTTAAGTGTATCTAGGTAGCTCAAAAAATGGATGATGATAATTTTGTACCAATTTAATATTAAACAATATAATGCTCTATGTTTAGTCAATAATAATGTATTCAATTATTTCGATTTTGCAATTCTCATTAATTACAAAAAGAAGAAATTGATTTGTAATTATCCAAGATTAAAAAAGGCAAATTCAAGTTATAACCAACTTATTTTTGTCATAAATACATTAATAGCTAAGATTTTATCAACTTTTCCCCCCCTATAAATACATTGCTAAGATAACAATTAAGTTACAAAGAGATATCAATCAAAAAATCATTAAAATTATTTTAGTGCAACCAAAATCAGTACTTGGAATAGAAAATGGATAAGGCAACATTCCTAAAGGTTTTCTTGGTGTCTTTTTTGCTTATTTTACTAGGTATAATCAAGTACTAATCAATTTTAATTTATTTTTATTTAATTTAATTATGATAACTCTATTTTTTTTCTTTATTCTAACTTATTCAATAATAATGTTAATGGTGTTATTAGGAAGCAATGGGGGGCTTGTGTGCAATGAAGATGGCGATTGTGATCACCAATTGATATGCAACGTTGGGAAACCATTATGTAACATAAGGACTCGTACTTGCTATTGTCCACACGGTCGTCTCGAAAAGATTGAAGGCCTAAAATCAAATTTTATAAAGAAATCTTATTAAAATTTGAAGAGGTTAATATATATGTAGGTCTTATTATGTAAGAATAATGTAAGTAACGCAAAGTTTAATAAAATGTTTTAATTTAAAGTTTTTAAGATTTCAGAAGTTGATATAATGTGCCACATTGGATTTTTGATTAGTTGATACAGTGGTATTGAAATAATGGACGATAAAATAAGACGAGTATGAATTTTAGTTGGATCTCCCATTATGATTTGGGTTATAATAAATTGAGGATTGATTTAAAATAGGTCAATAAGAAGATATCATGAAATAATATTTTTTAAAAAAAATATTATTCCCTTTGTTCTTATTTTCTTGTCCAGTTTTTACTTGACACACGTATTAAGAAAATAATAATTGACATAGTAAATTTACCATTTTATCCCTATTAATTGATAAAATTTCAAAGTCAATTTACATATTAAAGAGGTTTTACATTTTTTAAGAACATTAACTCTCTAAATAAATTGAGAGTATAATAGGTTAAAAAAATATATTATTTTTTCTTAAATTGTCAGAATGACAAATAAAAGATCAAAATTTGACACGTAAAAAACAACAATAATAATGATTTCAAGTGTATTGGGTAAGAACATGAATAACATATCCCATGTCTTAAGTAATCCAATATTAGAAATCTAATTACTTATTTCTTCCGTCCAAATTTATGTGACATTTTTTAAATTTCAAGATTTAAACAAGTCTATATTTGATTGTAATTTTATTATTTATTTTTTAATTATTTTGAATTGCTAATTACGGTAACTTATATTCTTTCCGTTAAAAAAAGAATGATCTCTTTCCTTTTAGTTTGTTTAAAAAAGAATGACCTCTTTTTTTTTTTTTATAACAGCTATCCACGTGACATGTTTAAGGTCACATGATTAAAGGAGAATTTTGTACATTTGACATAACTTTAATTTAGTACCACATGATCAAAAGTCTTTTTTATTTTCTTGAACTTCGTGCCAATCAAACTAGATCAATCTTTGTGAAACGAAAGGAGTGATACTTTTTATGTAGTTTATAAATATATAAATTTCATTTTGAAAAAAATTATAGATTTCACGAGCAAATTTCAAATTAAACTTAAATTGTTTAACTCTCGACAATGAAAAATAACACATAAATTGAAACATAGAAAGTACGAAACAAAAAAAAAACTAGATCTGAAATTGAAAGTATCTAAAAAATAAAATGGCTAATTAAAATTATAACTAACTTATCCAAATAGGTAGATTTTAGTAAGGTTAAATTCCCTCCCCCCCCCCCCCCTATAAATACAATTTTAGATAACAATTTAGTTACAAAGAGATATCAATAAAAAAATCCATATAATTATTAAAGTGCAACCAAAATTAGTACTTGGAAGAGAGAATGAATAAGGCTACATTCCTAAAGGTTTTCTTGGTGTCCTTTTTTCTTATTTTGCTAGGTATAATTAAGTACTAATCCAACTCTCTTCAATTTTAATCTCTTTTTATTTAATTTAATTATGATAACTCTAGTTTTTTTTTTTAAATAACTTATTCAATAATGTTAATGGTGTTATTAGGACTAGGAAGCAATGGGGGGCTTGTGTGCGACGTGGATGAAGACTGTGATCACCAATTGATATGTAACGTTGGGAAACCATTATCTAACCACATGACTCGTACTTGATATTGTCCATCGGGTCGTCTTGATAAGATCGGAGGCCTAAATCCAACTTTTATAAAGAAATCGTAGTTGAAATCTGAAAATGTTAAGAGATATGTAGGTCTTTATTATATAAAAATGAAAGTAATGCAAATTTTAATGAAATATATAATACATAGTTTTAAAGATTTGAGAAGTTGATATAATTTTATTTATCGATTTGATATTTATTAAATATCGGATTGATGGATAAGGGCATATATACTTTAGTTTTTAGACGGCAGGGGCACCAATGTCCCAAAAATATGACAGAGGATATCTGCGTACCATTTACGATAGTTCGAGATATATTTGTTATTTTTCTCCGAGAAAAATATCCATTAATTTATTTTTTTATTATTTCATATTCGCTTAAGATTAAAAAATTGGTGAAAGCATAGATTAAGGAAGTTCATAATGTAAGGATATTCCAATAAATCGACATGACTCCCCATTAGGCCAATAAAGCTAAAACTAATCAGACACTTTTTAAAATATTATTTATCTACTTATCAAATTCATGGCGATACTATTTAATATCATCATATTATAAAAATTTTAAGTCATGTATTATTATTCTAACTTTATATTACATACTTTTCATTGAAAATTTACATTATTTGTGTTCTACATATATATATTCTGTCTATCTAGACCTCATTTGTACGATTACACTGAGTATGTTATAATTATTCAATTTATATTTGTCAACTAAAAATAATAGGACCTCTATATAAAATTTGGCTTTAAGCCCCTAAACTTATCGAGACGACCCCGCTAACCTATGTTACTTTTTCTATCAATAGACTCGATAACGAGTAAAGTTTAATTCTTTTTAGAGGAAAATTTCCATTAATTTATTTTTAAAATATATTATAGCCTTTTTTTTAAGGAGATAGCAGAAAAAAACTGACTAAGACATCACAATCGTTTAAAAAAAAAACAAATAGTGGTAAAAGCAAAGTTTAAGGAAGCCCAATGGTTGAATAGTATATGATGAAAATAAGGTTTATATTTGTGGTCAAATGAATGTAGTTATTATTTCACAATCAACAAGTTGTGGTCAATGCCTTTTCTCCCTATATTATAGAACATATAAATTGCTAAATTAACAATACTTTAAATTCAATAATACCAAAATACTAATTGGAAGATAATGAAGAAGGCAACACTAATTCAAAAGGTTTTCTTCGTTTCCTTTTTGGTTATTTTGTTAGGTAAGTAAATCTCCTTAGCTATTCTTCCTGGATTATTTTAGATTACACTTTTTTAGCTAGGTTATCTTAGAAGTTAGAAATGTTAGCTACGTCCCATTGCATATCATCAAACAACTCGATCACACCACTATCTTCTATTTCGTACTATGAGATATATGAACAAAAAATAATTACACAATTTTTTCGTTTTATAAAAAATATCACTATATCCCGCTGGTGTTTATGTTGTATATATATACCTTGTGAATATACAATTCACAAGTTCTTATGGTTGAATACCACGAAGATATATAAAATATAAAATTATAAATTGTGTAACATGTGTCCTACGTGACATAATATAAGTACGACGCCATGTAGGATATAAAATTATCATGTTGAGCGTGTATACTTGTGAACATTTAAAGTTAGATGACATAAATGTCGGTGTAAGCGAAGTTAAATGACATGTTTATATGTTACGTCAAAAATATTTTATCCCACCTGGCCGGTAATGATTAAAAAAAATCTCACCAAATAGAAGACCACCATTGATCCAATTAGACCTCTTACGATTCCAACAATTTCGATAAAGTATTTAGTTTTTTTTTATTCCATACTTAAACTATCATACAAGTGAATTTCCTAGCTATCTTAACTATCTCTAAATATTTATCGAAACATACCTAAATTATTCAGTTCTCTTTTTCTGTCTGAAATGTCACCATTATTTAGGTAGGAAATTTTACTTAGAAAAAGTGAACATATGATAGTTCAGATAGGAATCTCACACGCCTTTTTTCCATCGATGTTAACATTCATGTCTTTGATATATCATATGTGTTTTTTTTACCCTTTTAACTCTTAATATAAGACAAAATATCAGAATACTTTAGATGTGTTTTCACTAACTCATTCGATATATTATCGATATAATATTATTGTCTATGGTTATGTTATTAGGACAAAGAATTCCGTCGATGTTAACATTCATGTCTTTGATATATCATATGTGTTTTTTTTACCCTTTTAACTCTTAATATAAGACAAAATATCAGAATACTTTAGATGTGTTTTCACTAACTCATTCGATATATTATCGATATAACATTATTGTCTATGGTTATGTTATTAGGACAAAGAATCAAGGGAGTCACTTGGTGCAACGATAGTGATATTTGCATTAAAAATTTAAAATGCAATGAAGGACATCCTGTATGTTACTACATATCAAACATGTGTTATTGTAGACTCCCACATGATACTAAGCCTTTTAGGTGCCAAACAACTGCAGATTGTGCTAGACAATTGAATTGTGTACATGGGAGACCTTCATGTTTTGCAAATACAAAAAATTGTTATTGTAAACTTCCAAATAGTAAACCAAATATTAATGAAAAGATGTGTAAAAACGATCTCGATTGCACTGTTCTATTGAAATGTTTGGATCCTGGTGATGCACCTACGTGTTACCTGAAAACACACAAGTGTTATTGCAAAAATTATTCACATCCACCAACTGGATCTCCGCGTATTAACGCGAGAGAACAACGTAATTTGTAAAGGGTGATTTATTGGATCATCGATTCGATTTTGATTTATCGTAGTCAGAAGTTGTTATATTATTATTTTTGTGTGTGTTTTTTTTTAAATGATGTAACTTGATGATTCAGTTGTTAAACTATATTTTTGGTAGAAATAAGAAAGATTTTTTTAAATAATTTTTGTTACTATTTCTTTGTTGTTTAAGTGTATTTGTTCCCTCCTCATTACTATTTTTCACTTACTATTTAGGCAAAGATAGGTAACTTTTATTATTAAAAATATAATCTAGTGAATTTATTGACTACATAAAAAATGAACTTTAGCGGTAATTAATTGGCAATTGTTGCTAAATATGTAATTTTTGCGGCAACTAGCACTCTTTGTATGTGTCACAAAGACTAACAATATTGGATCCAATGATACTTAAACTATTGCCGGTAAAGACTTTAACTTTCTTGTGTCTATTTATTGCCGCTAAAAGTCGTTTTTATTATACTGATTGAAGATTTCAAAATGAATCAATAAACTTAAGATAAATAAAAAAACAGGTTTCTAGCTTGATTTGAACCCTAGTCTCACATGTATTTCTACTAGCTTGACGTTCCAGCAATACAAGAGAATTTCTGTATTTTTCATTGATGCACTGTTTGTTTCTCAAAATAGATATACACACATATACACGTGATTGTTTTGAGGGTACACGTGCATCCCCACATATGAATGTGGATCCTACTCTAGAGCGAGTGAAGCAAAAGCTCCAACTTAAAGATAGCTAAGACAAACAAAATAAGCTACCATTTACATGGGTTGGCTAAGGCCTTTAGAGTTTGAGCACTCAAAGTTTTGAAAAGTATAAATGACGATCAAAACCAAGTTAAAAGATATATTTATATATTATAATCGTATGAATATTAAGATGAGTTACAGAAACTCGATTGAAAATTTCCAAATCATATCTCTAATTTATTTATTTTACATGAGCAAGATAATCTCAATTTTCACTTTTTTTTTTTATGTTGGATTCTCATATTAAATTATTCACGCACGAAATATCCGGTCCATAGGCATAGGGAGGATATGAAGTATCTCGCATTGTTCCTTTTAAGTAATTGGTGTTCACTTTAATATTTCCTCTTTATTATTAAAGAGGAAAATATCCATTAATTTTTTAAAAAAATATATTATATTCTTATTAAAGATTAAAAATATTGTGAATAATGTGAGGAGTGTATGAAAATGCGGTTTTAATTTATGGTTATTATTTCTCAATCAATAAGTTGTGGTCAATGCCTTTTCTTACATATATTATAAACATATAAATTGCAAAATTAACAATACATTAAATTTTCAATAATACCAAAATACTAATTTGAAGAGAATGGAGAAGGCAACACTAATCAAAAAGGTTTTCTTCGTTTCCTTTTTGATTATTTTGATAGGTAAGTAAATCTCGCTAGCTATTCTCTCTTTATTCGATTTAAGAGGGAGCTGTCGATGAAAAAACAATGACAACCCCTCTAATTTTTAACGAATATTTATGTGCGCGGTGTGTTTAGATGGAAAAATTACATAGGCGTATACACCGTATACCTTGGGGATATACGATTCACAAGTTGAATATCATAAATATATAGAAGATTTCACTAAATAGAAGATCACCATAGACCCAATTAGATCTCTTAATTAGCATATATCCCCAAAAATGTTAAGAACTTATGGATATAGATAATTTTGTTTTGTGTTTCTTGTGATGAATTTTTTGAATATTGATGTTGATGATAATTAAATATCACACTAACAAAAACATGCTAAACAAACACAATAATTAAATATATGTACTAGAAATTTGTACTCTCAAAACATTTTACAAATTATGTCTCTCTTTATTTAATCAACTATTTTATAACGAAAAATGTGGAAATACCCCTTAGGCTATGATCAAAATCTCAGAGACACACCTTAACTAAACTAAGGTCCTATTACCCCTGGTTTTTTTTTTAATTTTATACATCTTTTGTCTTACATGACACACTCTGTGACTCCATGCAATTGAGACGCGTGGAGATATTTAGATGCCACATAAATCAAAAAGGTGCGAAAAATGAAAAAAAAAATTAAGTTTAAGGGGTAATAGGACATTAGAATAGTTAAGGTGTGTCTCTAGAATTTCGATCATAATTTAGAAGGGTACTTGTGCATTTTCCCATTTTATAATGGTAAAAAAAACTGACACCTTTTCAATAACCAATTTGAAATATTCACTAATATAAATCGTCAAACACACCTAAATATTTCAAAAAAAATTCAAGTTTTGGACATAACTATCATATGAGTGAGTTTTCTACTTGAACTTCATGTAGGAAAAGTGAACAACTGATAGTTCAGGTATGACAGAACTCAGAAAACCACTCTACATGTTTTTGAGTCTTGTAACTCTTGTTATAATCATATTTAGACAAAATATCACGATATTTCAGATATGTTTTAACTAACTTTCACGATATATTATCGATGGTGTTGTTAGGACAAACAATCAATGGAGTCACTTGGTGCAACGATAGTGATATTTGCATTAAAAATTTAAAATGCAACGAAGGACATCCTGTATGTTACTACATATCAAACATGTGTTACTGTAGACTTCCACATGATACTAAACCTTTTAGGTGCCAAACAACTGCAGATTGTGCTAGACAATTGAAATGTGTGAAGGGAGTACCTGCATGTTTTGCAAGTACAAAAAACTGTTATTGTAAACTTCCAAATAGTAAACCAAATATTAATGAAAAGATGTGTAAAAACGATCTCGATTGCACTGTTCTATTGAAATGTTCTAATCCTGCTCAAAATCCTACATGTTACTTGAAAACAAGCAAGTGTTATTGCAAATCTCCTTCACGTCCACCTGTTGGAGCTCCACCTGCAGTTAACGCGAACGAACAAACTAAGGATTTGTAAGGGGTGATTTCTTGGATGGTCAATTCATCGAAGAGTCGTAGAATTATGTTTTTTTTTTTTTGTAAATGATGTACGTAATTTTGTTCAAGTTAAAGTACGTTTCATGATAGAAAGTCATTCAATTTTGTTTAAGGTGTATCATATAAACTCTCTCTTTCTTTTTTTTCTTCTCCTTGTGACTTTTTGTGATACATATCAACTTACTAGTTAGGCAAATATAAGTAACTTTTTTTATAAGAAAAATAGTTTAGTGAATTTAGTACAACAAAGTTAACGTTGAGTGACCATATCTATGAACTGACTCAGAGTTTGTGATGTGAATTGAATCCGATTTCTCCCCATTAGTAAGAATGATTAATTAAAAAGATTGTTATGCCACGTAAAAGGCATGCATGTGGCAATTCGTGTCTCATGTGACGTTCTACGAGTATCATGTCATATAGGATACATGTGTCTACTTATTCAACTTTATGCAAGTTTAAGTGTTTAGATGTGCACACCCGTTATTGGAGGACATAAATATCTATTGAGGTCAAGTTAAATGGTGCATTTATGTATCCTGGGTAGGGGACGGGAGTTAGATCCAATGTAGGGTTCGAAGTTGATTTAAGGTCATAAATTGGATCATAGACAATGAAGTTGGATCCTAAATCAGGATCAAGGTCAGGAGTTTGTTACTAGAAAGGGTCGAGTCATGGTTAGGGTTAAGAGATACATCTCAGATCATCTTCAATATTAGTGCCAAGATTCTAAATTAGGGTCGGGAGTTTCTCGAGCTGGGGTCAGGAGTTTGGGTTTCAAATCAAGGTCGAGGTTGGGTTCTAGGTCAAGGTTGGGAATAATTAAGGTCTAGGGTTGGGGTTGGGGTCTAGAGTTGGGTCAAGGGTTAAGAGTCAGGTATGCATCGGGGGTTAAGTCTTGGATTGGGTGTAAGTTAGATTTGGGCCGTGGGTCGACAATAGGGTTAGGTCTCTCCGAGTCGGTTCAAGTGTTGGCTCCAAAGTTGGGGTCGGGTATTTGAGTGATAAGGTTGAAAGAGAAATTTGAAAAATACTTTCTAGATCTTTACTTTTGTAGGAAAGTCATTTTTCTTAATTTGATAAAAAAAAATTAAGTTAATTTGAGAATATATTTTTTAAAACATTTAAGTTAAACATGAGAAAATTAAAAGTATTTTCCTTCGTCCCAAACACACCATCTATAAAACTTCAACTTTTTTTTTTCTCTAATTAGCTATTGAATGTCCCGCAAGAAAAGATCTTGTTACCTTAGTCTTAGATCAATTTAATTTCTTAATTAGCTATATTATCTATGGGAAGGACATAAAATTGTTTGATCCTGATGGAACAGAATTTATCTTTTTTGCTACTTAAGCATGAAATGAAAATTTGGTGCATATATATACAATCAAGAGTATTTTATTTAATTTTTCTAAAATTAAGAGTTAACTTGCAAAGACACATTCAATTAAAGATATTACAAGACAATATTACATAGTATTAGTGTTACTATTTTTTTTAGAGAAATTATTAAATGTATTAGTGTTACTACTTGTTAATCAAATCCAAAAATAGAATTATCTACATAATATTTATTAAGTTTGATTTCAAGTAAAGAGAAAATGCATAGGTACCACCCCAACCTATGCCCGAAATCACAGAGACACACTTATACAATACTAAGGTTCTATTACCCCTGAATTTATTTTATAAATAAATTCCTATCCTTTTACGGCCTAGCACGTGTTGACATTTTTTAAGCTAATGTCAACCCAAGGCCTCAAACTACAAACCAAAATTCCAGGTGCCTTGGTGGCCTGGCGCGCCGCCCCACCCCCGTACCCAAAAATCTGACAAATTTTATACTCAATTTAGAGTCCTAACTCATTTAGAATGGGAAAATTTTCCAACATTCTTATCGATTCTCAAACCCAACCCTAATACATGAGGAATTTAACAAAATCCCTTTGGGAAACATAACTTTTACTAAAGATTTACAACACAAAAGAATTAACAACCTTCATTGTTAAGGAATTCAACAATTATCAAGAACTACTCAAGAAGTCTTTAGGCACAACACTTCATGGATTACTAGATGTATGGCGTGAGGATGAACAATTCCAACAGTGAGAAGCCTTACATACCTAGAAACAACAATGTTTTTGGTGAAAATTGACAAATCTTGAAGAATGCTTGAAACCTAGTTTTTTCCCTTTTTGAATCTCACTTTAATTTCTCTAAGTGTTTAGGAACGTGAAGGGTGGTTTAACATTTGATTAGACCTTTATAGGGTGAAGAAAAACGTGGCTAGGCTTAGAAGCACAAAACAAAAGACCAAACTATCCTTCTAGAAACGATTGAGGTGTCTTTAGAAGAGATGCTTCACTCGAACAGGCATATATAACATTTTAATCCAAGCCGATATGAAGCAAAGTTGGTGGCGTTGGAAACAGAACTGAGAGCCTTTAATTTGATAGGTCATGAGTTAACTAACTTTTTAAGTGCTAAAAGATATGGTCGTTTGAAGTTGACCCAAACTTAAAAAAATGTTAGGTGAATTGTACAAACCTCTATTTAACTCTTTTGAAATCCTAGGTGTTACATTTTGAGGTTGGACTCTTATTATTTTTAGAACTATATTTTATTTTACTTTTTAATTAATTTTTATTTGGCTTATGGGACGACCCGCTTATATTCATCAAGTCTCACAAATCATCATGTTTATTAAGGCTGGGCTAAAAGTGTTTTCCTTAAATGAGTTTCAAAAATCTTAGTCCAATCCTATTGAATCACGGGTTAGACAAGGCCAGCCTAACGGTCCTAACCCACACTGATAACTCTACTTCTCAAACAACAAAGGAAAATTTACTCACTTTTCAAAATAATTCAATTTGTCCATCTTTTTTTAAAAAAAAAGAAATTATTATTTGACCATATTAATGATTGTAGATTACTTGTATTGTGTAACCTTTAATATTTGATTTGACTACTTTAATTCAGGGAAATTACATTAAATTTCTTTTTCTAAGTTATTATTTCTCTATCAGCCAAATGTCTTTGTTTCCCTATAAATACATTTCTAAGTGTGACAATTAAAATCAACAATAACAATCACATAAACAGTTGATTAATCTTGTATTACCACAAAACTTGGAAGAGAAAATGGAGAAGGCAGCATTCCTTAAGGTTTTCTTGATCTTCGTTTTGCTTATATTGCTTGGTAAGCAACTTTCTTATCAATTTATGTATCTAAGATTTTAAGATATATGTATCGACTAGTTAAACTAATAATTTGTTTAACTTTTCGATATTGTTATTAAAAAAAATTGTATATTTCACTGATTTGTTCAACAATGTAAATTTTGGTAGGACAAGGAAGTCATGCAAAACGAGCTTGCTCTAATGATGCTGATTGTGCAAAGTTTATTAGATGCATAGATTCAAAACCCACATGTGACTTGAAAAAACATAGGTGCTTCTGTCCACCTCCTCCAAATTATGAAACAAAAAGGGTTCAGAAGAGTCACCAAAACTGATTTACAATGTTTGTTATTCATATGCAAAATTGAACCAAGATTTATGTATTTCCTTTTCATATATATATTTATGTGGTTCAATAAATAAAGAACCCTTTTTTCATATTGATTATGTTTGAATTTGCTCCTTTTGATCTCTTGTTATTTGCGCCCATGTATTTTATCTTCAACGAATTATGTTTTAAGGATTTTACAAAATTCTTAAGAATTTGAGGAAACCCTAGATGGTCTTAAGAGATAAATTATATACAAGTGTTAAAACCAAAAGAGAGTGATAAGTTGGAATTTTGGTGCTTGCTCTTGATAAAATAAACTTTTTTATGAAGTTTTTAGAGTGGAAGAACTTGGGGAAACCTTCGGTGGGAGGCTTCTCTTTGTATCTTGATTTTTTGGCATGAAAGTTTTAGAGATCTTGATAGAGAGAAGGAACCCTAGGTGAGTCTTAAGAGAATTTCTAAATACTTGAATAATTTGATCGATGAAAACTAGTTTGTGTTATGCCGTAATTTTCCCGACTTCAGAAAAATCACTTTTTAAAATGTTCTAAGTAAATTATGAAAAATACTTAGAAAAGAGTCTTCACTTAATTTTTTAAAAAAGAAATTAAGAAAGCTTAATTTAAAAAAACTCTAACAGGTGAAGTCTTTAAAAATTTAGAGAAAATGGGTAATAGATTTTTACGCACGCTTCAAGAAGGTTTTTAAGGCACTAGCTTGAAGCGCCCGCTAACACACGATTATCCTACGACTTAACTATAAATATTATTTGACTATTTTTAGAAAAATGATTACATATAATATAATTTACAATATTCGATTAAACTTTGAAACAAATTAGTTAAACAAACAATACTTTGAAACAAATTAGTTAAACAAAGAATATTTTTATTTTTTTATGCAAAGAGGACCTTTAAAGAAATATTTGACTTAAATTAGATGATTAGAATTTTAGCAAAACTAGTTTAATTAGAATTTGTTTTTTTGAATCATTTTTAATAGTTTTACCAATTTCATTAATTAGGGCAAATAAACTATTTTGAATTAATTGAAGAATAAAGAATGGTTTTTGGCTAAATGTATTTAAGAGTTGATAAAAATGAAATTTTTATTTAATTAAAAAAAATCAACATAAAAAGAAATTAGTTCATCTTTTGGGGAATTTAATTAAGTTATTTAATGTTAGAGCTAATCACAACAAATAATAAATATTTATAATCATACAATTATGAAAGTAAAAGAGTCGTTGAACTTGGGCCATGTTTGGCCTAATTCACTGCTGCCTGAAAGGTTGGGCCGCTGGCCCATTTGATTCTCATCAAATGCTGCCTCTTTGAAATCACGTGTATACAGAGAATGTATACTGAAGTATATGGTCTGTATTTTGGCCCAGGTTTTGTATATCGGGAAGTATCCCAAATGTATACAACCCACTTCAATTTCCAGAACCTTTATTTTGATGTTTAGACCTGTATATCAATATTTATTATGTATACCAGTGTATACCTCATTATATGACAGGTATACAACTCATTTTCGGACTTACAAGATGTGACTGACTCAAAAATAGTCCAGCTCAATGATATGCAAGGAGGAATAAGCATATGAATAGACTGTGAGTTACTACTGGTTAAG